TCTAAAACTTTCAGGGATGTCTAGATAGGTCCTTGACATATCCGGAAAATTTCATCAAAATCCAAACTGACGAGGTGTTGTGGTTCCCTTGTGAAGTAATCAATTTTCAAACTTTTAAAAATATTCTAGGTCTTTCTGAACTATCTCGGGATCTAAAATTTTCCAACATTTCAATAAAAAATCCAATAAAAGATCGCTTACCTCTGTCCAGATTCTATCTTTTCCAACATCATCCATCTCTTGAATTGCTTCCATGTGTCGGTTTTTTTTTTGGAAAGTGACTGAAAAATTCCAACTATGAATTCAAAAAAAGTGAATAAATAAAGCGAAAAAATTAGAGACTATTTTGAAAATTTAACTTTTCCAGAATTTTTGGAACGCTGAAATTTCTGATTTCTTTATTTTCGGAATATCGTTTAGATTGATCCGGATTTTTGGATTTTTCAAAACACAGCGTTTCAAAATTGCCGGGTTATTACAGATTTTGCAAAAATCGGATTTTCGGATTTGGAGTACTTATTTTAGAAAATTGGTTTTTAAGGATTTTCAAAAATCATATATCCGGATTTTCCAGATTTTCCAAAACTCAGCTTTTCGAAAGTTCCGGATTATTCCAGATTTTGGGGAAATCAGATTTTTGGATTAACGAAATATTCTAAATGTTCGAAAATCAGAACTTCGGATTCCTTAATTCCAATTTTCTGAATATCGGCATTTTTGATCATTGTAAATTTTAAAAATTAGATTATTGGAATTTCCAAATTTTGGATTGTTTAAAACTCAGGTTTTCGGAGTTTCAGAATTTCGGATCATTAAATTTCGAATTTTAAAAAATTTCGATTTCGATCATTCCTAATTTTCAAAAACTGGTGTTTCGGAATTTCGGATTATTCCTAATTTTCCAAAAATTAGATTTTTGGATTTTTGAACTATTGTTGTCAAAAACCAAATTTTGAGATTATTTCTTTAGGCCTAGATTAATCCTCTATATGTCATTCTATGACAAATCATTGAAAAAGGAAAGCTAGACAATGATAAAGGGAGCAAAAATTAAAGAAAATGGCTTCTGCAAATTAGAATTTTTACTGATGAGTGAAGAAAAATTCGAAATTTCAAAGTTTCCAAAAAATGTGATCCAAATCTGAAAAATCAAAAATTAAAAATTCAAAAATTTTTTCAAAGGATATTTCGAATTTTGAAATACTCCAAATTTTCGAAAACCAGTATTTCGGATTCATTAATTCAAATTTTCTAAATTTCGGAATTTTTTATCATTCCGAATTTTCGAAAATCAGGTTTTCGGATTTCCGAAAACTTTGATCACCTGGGATTTGCAAAACTCAAAAGTCAGAGCCAGAGTGTTTACAATTCTATTCCAAGAATTCGAAAATGCGAAAAAAGAGTTTCATCATTTTGTTAAACTAAATTTTAAATTTTTCTGAAAAGTGAGATTCAAAAAAAATTATTAGAGCTCACATCAGAAAAAAGTAAAAAAGGGAGCTATGCAAGGCTTATCACTGCTTATCAGGAGGGATCAGAAGAGGAGAGTGCAAAACTAGGAAATAGAGGAAAAAGGGGGAGAGAGTGCAGAAACAAAAGAAGCGGTGGGGAGAGAGGGAGCTAAAAAGGGAAAAATAGGGAAAGCGATATAATAAGAGTATGAATGTATGAAGATGTCAAAGAGAAGACTGAGCAATAAAACAATGAAGAGGAATAATTATGAAATCGGTGGAACTATTTTTTGTCTTTTGAGAAGTTATAGATGCCGCGTCCAAAGCTCCCAAGCTTGGGATGTGTGGGCCAGAGATGTCAGGAAGTAAAATTTTTGAACTCGGAAGTCGGGAGTGAAATTTAATTTTTGGAAGTCGGAAGTAGGAAGACGGAAGTAACATTTTGAACTAGGAAGTCGGAAGTCGGAAGTCGGAAGTAAACTTCAAAATTTTCAATTTTTTAAATAGCCTCTCGCCAATGAAAGGTTTGAGCTGCAAGCGTTTTTCTCAGCGGAGCGGAATTCCTATGGACGAAAAGTTTTAAAAATTGTCGAAAAATGAGAAAATTTCGCTGAAAACCGGTTTTTCAGTACAAAATTTTTCAAATAAAATTTTTCGTCGCGCGCAAGCGCTCCGCTGAAGAAAACGCTTGCAGCTCACGGTGAGTTTTTCACTACCGGATTGCGGGACAGTCTGCGACGTTTTAAAGTACAATGGACAAAACAAAAATCTGATTCATTTTTTTACTATATATTCTTCATGAAATTTACTAAAAATCTATGGAAAAAAAATCAAATTCTATGGACTAAAATTCGAGAAAAAAAAATTCCAAAGTTAAAAGCAGCGCGCTGCAGCGGTAGTGAAAAACTCACCGTGGCAGCTCAAATTTTTCATTGGGGAGAGCGTGTACTGGTATTTCGGAGCATAATTTATGGTTTTGGTGCTAATTTTGAACATTTTCTGATTTTTCTTATCAAAAATGAACAAATTTCGCAATATTTTTTGCCAAACTTCATTGGCGGAATTTGAAAGTTTGAAGCCGGAAGTAAAACTGATTTTCCGGGAGTCGGAAGTCGGAAGTAAAATTCCGAACTAGGAAGTCGGAAGTGAAAAAATGCCCGGAAGTCGGAATTCCTGACATCTTTGGTGTGGGCCCAGAACACAGTCCAAAGTGACGCCCAGATCGCCCGGATTTAGATTGACACAGTGGAAACCAGTGCTATCGTCGGGGTCAATACGGTCGCACTGGTTCTATTTTGGGTCGTTTTAGAAAGGTTATAATCAAAACAGGATGCGACAATATGCAAGTGAAATTCGTCTTCTAACCAAGAAGAGCATTTTCCTTTCCAAGATGAAATAGGGTACTCATTATACGAAGGCACTCATTATAGAAAGAAGAGGAAGGACACATAACAGAGACGTCGGCGGAGATTTTCCATATTGCCCGGTTTCTATGGATATGCGCAAATTTCGAAATTTAGAGAAGAAGAATTTTGAGATCTAGAGAAGGAGAAGAAAGAAAAAAAAATGTATAATAATGACCTTTTCTGTTATAATTAGGACAGCAGAAAGAAGTTAAAATATTTGAGGGTTCCGCGCTACCGAGCTATGCGATTGAGTTTGGGCTAATTTATCTCGTTTCTTGTGAAAGATATCAAAAAGCAATCAACTAATAAAGTATTTTTGATATTATAATGAACATTTTATCAGTTGATGACTTTGCCATATCTTTGACAGGAAATCAGATAAATTAGCTCAAAGCTAGGGACCCTCCTATTACAGATTTTACGTAACTTCGAAACAGTTTGACCTATATTCATGAAAAAAGGTCCCGCTAATCTTCCATTGTCTGTTTTAAGACTGGTAGGCTAAATTTGTTTGTTTAGTGTTTTTTATTACCCTACTAAAACTAAAACTTATTATCTACTCGTCAGGACGTCACCTGTTTTCGCACCTCCTGAGCCGGCACATCCTTTGTGGGACCATCGAAGAATGGGTCAAAAGGGGAAGGTGGTGCATATGGACGGACCAGAGTCAAAACAGGGGGATTAAGGAATCTGGTCAGAAACAGGCATAAGAAAAGGAAGAGGACGGTACCATCAAAAACTCATTGCATATAAATAAAAACTAAAACTTGAAATGATCCTCAACTTTGAGCCCATTTATCTCGGTTTCTGTAAGAGATATCTAAAGTGGGCAGATGATAAAATGTTTATCACAATATCATAATTATTTTATCAGTTGTCAACATTTTGATATCTTTCCCAAGAACCGAGATAAACAAGCTCAAAGGACACTCATTGAGGAGGCATCTCTATGATGCACACCCATACCAATCAAATTTGAGCCAATTTATCTCGGTTTCTCAAAGATATTAAAATGTAGTCAACTGATAAAACATTGATAATATTATGATAAACATTTTATTGGTTAAAAAAAATTTCATATCTCTTACAGGAGTTGAGATAAATGAGCTGAAAGTGCTGGTTTAGGGGTGGCGTAATTATTGTGCACACCTACGGACCATCTGTCCGAATAACGTCTCCAAAAGCGGGGACCATTAAAATTGGCAAAAAGGATTTAGATTTGAGCTCTAATTAAAAATATGAACACAATTTGTATGTAATTTGTTGTTGGTTACAAATTTGATTATCTGTTTCTTTCTTCACATCACCTGGAGCATGGAGTCGGGAAGGTCGACTACCATAAGGCCCTCCTAATTTTGAGTCGATTTATCTCGGTTCCTGTAGAATTTATGAAAAAGTGATCGACTGATAAAATGTTTCTCATAACACCACAAACATTTCGTTAGTTAAACGTTTTTAGATATCTGTTACCGGAATTGAGATAAAGGAGAACAAAGAAATGTGTGCTCCATGGAACATTCGAGATGACGCACCCCTTAACTTTGATTTGCTATATCTCAGCTCTTGTTCAACAAATAAAAAAGTGCTTATTAACAAAATGTTGCTGATGTTATGATAAGAATTTTGTCAGTTGACCACTTTTTGATATTTCTGTCCGATCAGATAAACTATGAAAAAGAGATCCCAAAGAAGATAAGATTTACTGAGACCCGCAATCTTCCAAATATTAGTTTCCGAGTCTCGGAAATTCCGAACTACCTAATTATTCCACTAGAACCCCTAACCATGGATTCCCCATTTTAGAATCTACCCAGAAGACTAATCGCCTCCTATGTGCAAATGGGTGATCCGTGCTCTCTCCTCTTTTCCACACTGTCTCGTCTGGGATGTCTGTTACCGCACTGCACAAGTGTGTCATATTGTTATGCGGTCAGGTGTCTAGGAGGTGATGGGCGTTCCCAATCCATGCAGTTTAGTTGGCCTCTTTATTTTGTCTTGTGAGTAGCTACAGTACTTTCCTTCTGTCATTTCATTTTGTAATTCATGAGGTACTGTAGTTTTTCTGCATTTCTGTTGGTATGCTTCTCTGCTGCCTCATGAATGACCCCATTAGAAATTGGAAAATGTCATTTACTTGGCACTTTTTTTTCTCATTTTCCATTTTTGTACTTCCTGGGAGACGTTTTTTTGAGTTTTGAATTGAATAATGACAATTGAATAATTAATTCTTGCTAATCAAGTTCTAGAATCTTCTAGACCATTTTAGCCTAGGTACAGTACCCCAAGAGAAGGAATCAACTTTAAGGACCTACAAAAAGCTAGAGCTTCATTTTTGTGATTGACAACTTTTTGTACAAATCCCGCCAATCGAGATAGTCAGCATTTTTGAAATTAGTGC